ATTTGCGGAAGGTTATCCACAATTCTACTCCATGAATCGGTTTCCTACTCGGGAATTTCGTCGTCTTAACCAAAACCTGTCCTACATAGACGCTGTAGCAGCTGCTTTACTGGGAAAATGGTTGGAGCCAAGAGTCGTAGCGGGTCACATAAAGCGGCCACCGTTGGCAGAATACCCCACTTAGTTGTGGCCTTACTGGGAGTATTAACTTTATAGAAAAAGGGTCACGTTTAGCATCCCAGGATAAAGTTGAGGTACACTCTGCTAGCAGCTTCTCCACATTGAGTTCTCGTACTGCCTGGCTTCGTTCGCTTGGAGGTATCATTTCTACAACTTGTGGGCAGTTTCTGATCCATCCGGTAAGTCGAAAATCTCCTCTCTCGCGAACATGCTGCAATCGTTCAGCTAAAGAAATAGCGCTAGAGGTGCTGTCAGTAGAAGCCAGATAATCGTCTGCGTAGAAATTTTTATCAGCAACCTCTTTAATTACAATATACTCTCTAGAACAGAAGGTGTCTACGGTCTTTCTGAGCATATGGTTCGCACAGAAACGCGTTGAGACCTCACCAAGTGGATGAACAGTCAACTGATATTCAGCAGCCTCTTGGTTTATGTCCCCATGATTCCATTTTAAGAGACTAAATGCTGGTCTGTTGTGTTCCGGAATCCTGGCTTGTAAGGACATTCATTCTACACCAGTTCCGACGGCGATGGCTCCAGCTCTAATCCTCAGAAGTATCCAAGCTAGATTATTGACAGTATTTGGTCTGTGTAAGCCTTGTTCATTTAGTGACGTACCGTGACGCGTAGTCGTGCAGTCAAACAATGTTCTCAACTTGTCAGATCTTCTAGGGTTTATGACGGAATGATGAGGAATATACCACCGCAGCCTTCCAGGCGGCTAGTGGGGATTACTTTTTCTGACTATGTAACCCTTTTGCAGGGGCTTATTAATGACTTCCTCATATCTCTCCAGAAGACCACTATCCCTTGCCAATCGTTTTCTCAAACACACAAGTCTACATTTAGCTATCTCATAATTATCGGGTAGACTGGGTTTGCCAGATCTCTAGGGTGACCCAGTTTCGAAATGTCCATCTACTAGCCTGGAAGAACGATCCAGGATACTATAGTGACACTAACTAAAACGACAGCTTTAATATGATCATACAAACAAATTGACTGAAGTCGAACGAAATGAAAGGTCAGTGTTTTTGAATACATTGCAAGAATAAAAATCAAAACATCAGTGGTTAACACTACAGTATTTACCCGTTTATTAGAGGATAGCGTTGGAGGAAGCAGCGCAAAGTACATGCATCAGGGCGCTCAAAATGAGATTAAATGCAGCTGTTGGGATCCCGTTACGAAACAGGTATATGAATCATCTACAGGACCATTGTGGGTTAACCATTTAGGATTTTTCCTGGTGCGAACTTGACAGACGCAATGACCAATCACTAATTATTCGAACTTGTTATATACCCACGAATACGAGACCAAGGAAGAACACGATAGCGTAGTCGGATGGAATAGTATATTTGGATGGTTATGCCAAACTCAAGAAAACAAGGTCGCTTCTAAAGAAAACCGTTTGGAACCACTATCGTAATAATGTGTAGGACATTTTGTAAATCACTGATTTGTCTATAGCAGCTTATATCATATTCCCAAATGACCAGAGGGAAATGAGTTGGGACGAACAGTTTAAAAACTAAAATGCTTGAGACCGAGTAGATGTTCACTGGAGTTGAAAGAGAAACTGGTTAAATTACTCTACTGTTGATTAGTAAGGCAAAATAGAATTTCAGTATTTTTTTGGATGAAGTTTATTTGCTGTAAATAACATCCCTAAGTATGTCCGAAAAATCTCTTTTTTAACCGGCTATTCTAAAATTTACATTTCAAAAGCAAACTTTTACGAAATTAGATTTACACATACACGAAGTTATTTTCTATAGATTTTATGTCCGCATAAATCAGAACTGTGTGTATGGGTGTTTTCAGTTCGAAAGGATCAAAGTTTAACTCAAGCATTATGGACCAAAAGAAAACAATCAATATCATACCGTTAAGTTATGGGAAGGAAATGACTGAAGTAGTTCGATCACCGCTGGGGAAATAAGTTACCCCCTAGTAACCAATCAGTGTACCTAACCCAGTCCAGCCGGAAGGGATATCAGTTCCTTAGTGGTCACAAATACTCTTTGTTAATGAGTGTCAACAAGCGCGAAAACGAAGTCAATCAAGGCTTCAGGCCAACTGCCTCCAACCAACTCACGTACTTCAGGGTTTTTTTAATTTTATGCTTTGTTGATGAAAATTACAAAATTTATAATTGATTAGGTCATATATTTTCATAAAAAGGACTAGTATCTTCAAACTTTCATAGAGAAGACTCCTTCCACATACTATAAAAGGTTAAATAAACCTATGAATCTGTATTGTGAAGTAATGTCTGTAAAGGGAAAGTTGAATTTTTACAAATCTCACATTTCCTGTCAAACAAATTAGAAACAGTTTTGAAGAACTGTCGAGCTCTGGAATCTGACTCCGAAATTTATATACACATCCAGATACACTATCGCCTATTTATAATTCCCGACATTGCTGATCCACCTGCGTCAGATAGTGTAAACATCAGGAGTTAACGCGAAGTATAAATCAGGATGTTGTATTGGTCAGCGAGCAAGCAAAAAGTCTTTTTCAGTACAACTAAACAAAAAATGTTCAGTGAGTTGTTACATAAATCAACACAATACAGTTAAATAAAATGCTATAGAACTTTGTCGTTCACTAAATTACAGTTTTTTATTTCAAATACAGCTGGACTCACGAAATCCCGTATTGAAAAGTTAAATTTGTCAGTTGAAATTCATGTCCATGCAATTTGTTCTGTCTGATATGTCGTCAGTTTTCTGTATCGAATTTACCAAATTTTTAAAGTTCTGTTATCGTGAAAAGAGAGGGAAGATGTGACAAATGATGCTCAACTCTCGTAGTAGTGGGACCCGTGTTAATTCATTCCCATTTGGTGTAGACAAATGTGAATGCTAACTTGAAAATACATCACTGTATAGTGGTCATTTGTGACATGCTTCCAGACGGTTATACCGAAGTTCTAATAAGAAGCTGTGATTTGTGAGGTCAACCAGATGGAAATGAGGCGGGTGCTAAATGAAGATCATGTGTGGTGGTCGCGCTGTATCGCAAATTGACGGAAGTATAAAACTGTAGACCAGTGGATTCCGACCCAGTGGTTGAATGGTTAACGCGTCCGCTGTGTAACCTGAATGTCCTGAGTCCAATCTCCAACTTGGTCGTGAGTGTGTACTGCTGATGAGTCCCATGCTCAGACAAAACGGTCGTCTAGTGCTCTCAGATTTGTAATGATTCTTTAGATGATGTCAGTTAGTGATGAATTCGACTTTAAAGATATATAGCTAATTTATCTTCTGTATGAGAAAGAAATGCTTTCGTTTGGATTTTGTTTTTAAGTTCTAGATGTAAAATTTCTTATTTGACTATAGATGCACTGTTTGAAAGTCTATACGATGATTTGCTTGCCCTTTTTCCAACCTTTTTAAATAGTCAAAGCTAACTGAATTTCAAACTAGTGGATATGGCTCACTAATTTCACTGTTTAAGTTCAAGACGAAGAAGATTTCTAATTTATCAACATTTCAAGGCCTTAAGAGAATTTCAAAATAAGTATAATATTCAGTCCTCAAACCCGATAAGGAGTCAAAGGATAAATAAATGTGATTAAAACAGCAAGATAATGTTCATCTTCAGGAAGAAAGCAAATTCATCTCTGACGTTACATCAGATAATTTTAGAGAATAAACATACAAAGCAATATCTAATGTAGTAAAACCGAATCCGAATCCTTATGAATTGTCTAAAATTCATGAAGATAACAATCTGCTACATCTTTTAATGTTCATGTGTGATTAAGCTACAAGCTAGTTAGAGAAAATTTCAGTTCTTATACGAAGTGAACTGTGGAAATTTTCTTTGAAAGGTACATTTGAACTTGTTGATTGTCTTAATGACGTTAATATTATAGTCACCACTTTTCATTCCTTTGATGCCAATTCCTTATTTAGTCACTGGTTCAAATTCTACGACGGCCCAAAATTTTCATTTCATATTCAGTCGTCACCCTGTATCAATAACACAAATCTGCCAAACCACGACTATTTCGGATAGTCAAACTGATAATTCCTTATTCGCTAACATACTCCAAACCAAGAGCCATGACATATTTTTGTGCTTATATATCCTTTGATAGCACTTCTACTCTCATCCCTTCAACCTATCTGAAGGATAAGGATAATCTCACTCTCGAAGGGATTCATTTTCGGGAGAAAATATTATTGTAAGAATGGATATTCAGTTGAAGTGTTGGATGCTAGGTTCCAATCTCAGTGGAAACATCACACCAGACAAATTCAACTGATGGGTCCAAACTAGACGAAATACATGTCCTGGACTCCACTACCATTGCCAGTTACATGTGTCTGGACACATGTAATTAGAAAGGACTAAATCGAGGTATGCAATTGAGGCTAGAGACACATGGACCCAAGTGGGTGCAAAAGCAACGGCATTTCCAAACATCGATAAGAAAAGCATCTTCATCCATTGTAAAACACTTGATTGATAATGTATACAGAAGTGATTTCACAATATTATACATAAAATATCTATCACGTGTGTTTACTTAGAAAAGATAAATCGCTAGCCATACCCAAATTTCAGCCTCACCAGTGTGATGAAAAGTAATTTGTCTTTACCCTATACATACTCTGGTAATATTTGTTGTATCTTATCAAAAAGATTGGTTTCAAAATTTATTATACTTTGTTAATTGCCTTTCCCACTCTTATTTTCCCTATTTTCAAACTGAGTTTATTTGATCTTCTACTGTTTCCTCTTTTCATATAAAATCCGTAGACGAATAAATGTGTGGTGAGATGGTTCAAAATGTATGATATGAAAATGTATCATTTTTTATTTAAACTGTGGTCTTTAATTACTGTATCCATAAATCTCAAAAGGAACTAATTTTTTCGAAAGAATGACATTATTCGGTTGTAGTCAAGAGGGTGAGATCACATTTTGCTTGACTTGGAACTCATGAAGTCAGTAGGATCGAGGTTAATGTAATTTGAGTTCTGTATTAGAAAGTGTGTATAAATCTTAGCTCCATTACTTTCGAATAATGTATGAGTACATCTAAAATCAAGATACTGTACAACAACAACTACTTTACAATTCAAAATATAGAACGGTATTGTGAATGAGTCACATATCTTATCAATAGTTCTATAAACTTATTTTAAACTTAGATATTGTGCATAATGATGAGAAACTAAGTTTGATAAGAGCAAAGTGACCAATGGTGATGACCTTGGAAATATTTCAAAAACATACGTTTAAAACAACTCGATACAGACATAAAAATAATTCAAGTATAATTCTAACAAATTATAGGATGAATCAAAAATTGTTTTCATCTTTTACGCTTCAAAAATCTTCTAGTCTATCAGGTAGAAACATTAGTCCTGGAAAATATCAAAGGAACGTTAGTTTTGCCTTTACTGAATTCAGTAGTTTCAATAGTAATGTTAGTATTAAAACAAACTGTTTGAAGTAGAAGAAATTTAGAAACTAATTATGATGGAGAAATGAATAATGCTAATTACCGTTTCTCAGTTCATTTACCTTAACTTTAATCTTGATTATCATTAGACTTCATACTTGTTTCAATTGTATTTGCAGATGGATAAAATTTTTTTGATAATTTCATTCGATAACTGAACTTGTAATAGGCTTTAATAAGTTTTTTTCTTAATTGTTGACTTGAAACAAGCAAAATTACTGGATTTAAAGAACTTTTAATGACTGTAAAAAATACTGCTAATCGTCTTTGTATTGATATTGTCTCATATTGTATTGCTCCATATAAACCAGCTAGTGAATAGATATGATAATAAGAATGACTTAAAACAAATAAGGTACACATAATTGTAATACTTAAGAGAACTGATTTGATTTGACTAATTGACGAAGAGGTTGATACTGCTGATGATATTGATGATGATGAGCATTTTTGTTGTGATGATTTCACAGTATTCATGGATTGTTTTATGATTTCAGTAGTGTATGTTTCCTGTTGAGTAGATCGAGATTGTGCGAGTGATTTTTGAATGAAATAATATACATGAGAATAACAAATGACCATTGTAATTGATGGGATTAAGTAAGCAAATATTAACCAGGAATAAACAGAAAATTGTTCGTATGCTGGATTAGTATTTTCTCCTTTGCGTGTACAAGTCCCATTCGTATAATTTACTGTAAATACTACCGGTAAAGGAGTGATTATTGCATGACATAATATAAATGTATAACAGATAAATGGTTCAATTTTTTGAAAAGTTTTATAACTTGATCTTAGATAAACAGCAAAAAGTCGATCAATACTAATCCACATTAAATTGGATACATTTAATAATTCGATAAACTTGAAAAAATACTCTGAAATCCATACATGACAAATGAATACAGCAAACCAACCAGTGAAATTAGTAATATGAGGTGAAGAAAATAATGAGATAGCTGCGAAAAAGCATGTTAACCCATCAAAACTACACTGTGTACGAAAGAGTATTGTAGCAGTTCGTGAGCCTAAATGCGTGAATGATATAAAAATCAGTGTGAATATATTGCATATTGTTCCACTTATATCAACGATACCGGCAATTACATGATAAGCAAGAGGTATAGGATCCAAATCCATGTATTTTATGTTTCTTGTTAAACAAAAGTGATCATGAAATCATTCAACTAATTCATTCATATCAAAATGTTTTCAATGATTGACAAAAACTGTTCAGTTGGGAGGTAATTTTTTGTTTAAATCTAGACTTTAGTGGATTGTAACATATTTTGAACTAAAATAGGGTAAATGTAAAACAAAAGTGCATTTACATTCTTCACAAACAAAAATAAACAATAGAAAATAAAAATTGGGGATGAAAATATCTTCATTTCGATAGGCATGTTACTGACTATTGGTGAGTTAAATCTGTTAGTAATGTGTGTGTGTGTGTGTGTCATTCATGCTGTGAAAAATGATTAATTAATTTTTTCAACGTGAAAATAATTGGTGTTTTAATGCCTTGATTGAAAATTGAATATAATCGGCGATTGAATCAATCACCTGATCTCGAAATGGTACATTAAGGATGGGTGGAAGAGTCAAGCTAGCGAACGGATTGAAACAAAAATGACATATGATGAGATAAAGCGAATATCACTGGCTACGAACTTGTATACAGTTGATTGAATAAGAAGTCATCATCATCAACATCAACATAGGATCAGGCATTAAAAACCAAGTTATCATACCTCATATCAGAACACCAAGTAACAAGGCAATAAAATAAAGACGAAGAAGGAAAGAAGAATCGGTCAGAGAAAGTAGAAGTAGAAAGTAGTGAGAGAGAAAGAATGAATGAGAAGATGAGACTAGGTATAGCCATATCACCTAAAATCTCCAAAAACACTGGTTTCTTTTGTCCTGCGGACACCAACCAGCTAGTCTGCATTGCCCTACATGGCTCAAACGAACAGTCAATGACCTCATACATTAATGCCATGTCTTAGTCTGGCCACCCCTAGCCATTCTCCAGACTGAACCCACTTCGGCCAACAATATGGGGTGAGGTACATGGTGTCTAGGCAAATGTAAGACATGTCCCAGCCATCTCAGTCGACAAAGGTTTACAACCGCATCAACTGTTTTACTTCTACTCCCTAGAACTGTACGCCTGACGTCTGCGTTACTTATGTGGTGACACCACAAAACACGACCTATGCTATGAAGACAACTTTGGTCAAACACCTGAAACCTTCTCATATCTTCTACTTTTAATGCCTATGGCTTTTAGCCATACAATAGAACAGAGCGAAAACTGTGGTACAGTACACTCCACCCAATAGACAATAGGATGTTGTGATGCCACAGATGGTATAAGTTGACGAGAGCCGATCAAGCCTTTTGCATCCGTGTAGAGATTTCGTCGGCTACTGAGCTACTAAGGCAGAGCTGAACCGACTTCCTAGGTAATAGAAGTGGTCAATACACTCAACCACTACACCCTCTATTGTTAGTCGGGGTACCGTTGAAGACCAGTCTCGGAGTGATAATTTGCGTTTGGGTGGCGAGAAACGCATCCCAAACATTCTCAAATTGCCACTCAAGGTGTCCAGAAGTCTCTGAACCTTGTCAGTGCCTTCACCTAACGGGACTATGTCATCTGCATATTCAACGTCCACCGAAAAGTCTCCTGTGACTAGGTCAATCGCTGTTTAGTCAGATGACGAGAGCGAGACCTCTGTAAAAACACCTATGATAAAATTGAATAAGAATGGAGAGAAGTGAGCATCCTTGACGGACACCACTTGACCTACACAACTCACCCGATATCTCAACATAGACTCTAACACGCCCACAGATATTCCATTAGCGCAACTTCAATAAGGTGATGTGCTTACTTGGTAGCCCTTTCAATGAGAGGCACTGCCATAGGACTTCTCAATTGACGGAGTCGAATGCCACCTTCAAGTCGAGAAATAAAGCTACTGCTGGACATCAGCAAGCATGCTTTTGTTCCAGAGCCTGACAGGTAAGAAGTATTCAGTATTTAAGATTGCTGACTGCATAACACGTTGTTTGGGTAAAAGGCCGGACTAATTACGTAAAATCAATAGATAGTTAATACAGATGGAACCAATAAAAGATGATGAAAGAAATTTAATTGCCAAGGAAGAGAAAGAAGGGAAACGATGGGCCGACCACTTCAAAAAACTCTTCAATCGACAACCATCTGCAACTCATCCAGAAATTCCACCTGCAGCTGCTGAACTACAAGTTAACACAAACCCTCCGACAAAAGTCGAAGTCCTGAGCGCCATAAAGTTACTGAAATGTGGGAAAGCAGCAGGATCAGATGGAATCCCGCCAGAAGCGCTGAAAATAGACTCAGAGACTACTGCGGATTTGCTCAGACCACTATTGCAGAAGGTTTGGAAGGAAGGAAAAGTACCTGCCTGTCGACTGGAAGAAGGGTTACCTTGTCAAACTCCCGAAGAAGGGAGACCTCATTGATTGCAAGAACTGGCGCTGAATCACGCTCCTATCTACCCAAAGCAAGCAAAATCTTAAGCCACATCATCTTAGAGAGACTAAAGGATGCGCTGGATTCAAAATTACCGCCGGAGCAGGCTGCCTGGATTCAGGAAGTACAAATCACGTGCGGACCAAATTGTAACGCTACGCATCATCATAGAACAAAGTATAGAACGGCAGTCAACTCAACTCCACCTCAAATTCATCCACTTTGAAAAGGCCTCCCACAGCGTCCACCAACAAGTTATTTGGCAGGCAACTGCTCCAACACTATGCTATACCACAAACCTTTGTCAATCTCATTCAACAACTATATGAAGACACCACATGCCAAGTAAGTCACAATGGCAGGCTCAGTGATGCCTTTGAAGTGAAGACAGGAGACAGGAGACAGGAGACAGGAGTAAGACAAGGCTGTCTACTATCACCCATGCATGATATTTCTGATTGTGGTCTACTCGACTGGATGATGCAGCAAACAGTGAGGAGTGAGGAGCGAGAAGAGGGTGATGTGCTGGGTGGACGAGAAAAAGAAAGTGGAAGATTTGGATTTCGCCGATCACCTGTGTCTAATGCCACACAAAGTTGGAGATCTAGAGGGGAAAACTAACAAGTTGAGAGAAGAGGCGAGGCGAGGCGAGGCAGGACAGGGCAGGACAGTGAAGGAAGACGGGACTTCAAGTGAACGTAGAGAAGACAGAGGTGATGAAGATACACAACTAACAACAACAACAACAACAACAACACAAACTGCATTCTCCATCAACGGGAGAAACTTACACGGAGTAGCCTCTTTCACCTATCTAGGCCGCGTCATCTCAACTACAGGCGGCACTGACAAGGATGTCAAAGCAACCAGGATCAGCAAAACAAGACAGGCGTGCCTTCAGTGATGTGAAAGCAGTGTGGAGATCTGCTGCACTCCACCCAGCGTAAAGTTTGAACAACATCCGGATTTCCAACACCAATTCAGTCAAGTCAGTGCTCCTATGTGATGGTTGAGAGACTTGGTGCGTTACGAAAAGCATTTGCAACAAACTGTAGATATTGATGAACAACTGCCGACTAGGCTGACTCGTTACTGAAGCTCAGATGGATTGGATTGCCAGAAAGAATAGGCAGCAAGGAACCCTGACTGTCTGACAACGAAGCAACCAGGAACCTATGGCTGAATGAATGTGCAGAAAGAAGTAGGGATTGGAGATGGATTGGATTGGATTGTGCATAGACTGAGAATACCGACTGGGGACATCACGCGCCATGCCATGCCATGTCATGCCATGCCAGGTCGTTGAGTGGAACCTGAAGGGGAAACGACGAGTTGGGCGTCCCAAGTGAGGGTGACATGGAGAAGATGGTGTGAGGAAGAAATGAGAGCTTGTGGGCTGTCGTGGAGCCAGGTTCAAAAGGTTGCAGAGAAGAGAGTGTAATGGAGATGTGCTACTGAAGCCCTATATTTCGCTGGGGACCCAAGGGACAGATATTAATAGTAATAGAAAGAAACAGTTATCGAGTTTTATAAAGAGTTTTTAAAATCGACAGTAATAATGTCTGATGGTGGGACCCAGGACATCAGCGATGACATAAAAGCGTCTAGAGTTGTTTTACTTTCCCGAGAATTAAAGTGGCTTCAGTATTCATGGTGTTGAAGGTGCCGAGCTCGGACAACCAGTTTCAAGCCATTAATGAAAGTCTAGATTCCTACATAAATAAATACATTTACAGTAGTAGATTGTATCCACACCAGAAATACCTCATGGCATATAGATACACATTATAAGTTGGAAATAGGCACTAAAAGGTTATGCTTTCTATTCATTGGTACTTGTCACTCATATAATGGCCATTTGAATGTTGAACGAATATTCTTTTCATATACAGAACTCATTACAATAGTCCAAAGTAGATGACACATTATGCAGCTGTAACATTTTTTATTTCCAGTTCAACGCTAGATGGAATTGAGCTTCTGAACTAAACTTTGTTGTTCCATTTACATATTTTACTGTGGATCATGTTTGAATGCATCACGTAAGTAGCTAGCTAGAATTCTTTAGTCAATCTTTTGGAACTCAACCATTCTTAATACAGTTTTTGGGTCATCTACAAAGTTTACTATCAACTAATTCAATATAATTCATGTTGATTGTTGTTTCAAACCATCAAAGCAAATTATTAAAAGAATTAGGTTATACATTGCATTTTCATAATGAAACCAGGTGGTCTTCTGGTGTATATATAAGTGAAGGGGATACTGAAAAACAACTTTCGCTAACCGTGACTAAAAATAACCTTGATCTCTTAAAAAAAAACAAAAGTACTCACGTGAATTTGTTTGAAAATTTCATCCCAACAATACTTATCTGCCAGTTTATCTTAGTTTAGCTTTTTTTTTCAAAAATGATCACAGAATAGTGCTTAAAGCACCGATTTATTAATCACAATAGATACTTCTATTTTCTAAATGTTAAAACAATACAACACTTATCTGATTCATATAAAATAGTAATAGTATTTGTATTATCATGATTTCCAGTAAACAGTATACAGGTTCAGAGACTAACCAGTATCTTTTCTTCCGCTAAGAACAGACCAATATGAGTGTCAATATTGGTTCAGTGCCCATTAAGATGAACAATGTTCAGTATTTTGCTGAAATGGCGTTGAACGTTTCTGAATCAATGAAAAAAGGAAGTCCATTAAAAATATTTCTCCATTTTCATATCATTCCATAGCTATGTAACAATAAATATTTCATTAACAAACCAACAATTTTGAAGTAGTATTCATCATGGACTGACATA